CCAACCCCCTGCTCAACCATTTGGAGACCCTACACCATTTCAGACAAATGGCTGTCCAGTCTCTTCTTAAAAACTTCCAGTGTTGGAGCATTCACAGCTTCTGGAGGCAGGTTGTTCCACTGGTTAATTATTCTCACTGTCAGGAAATTTCTTCTTAGTTCTAGGTTGCTTCTCTCCTTGATTAGTTTCCTCCCATTGCTTCTTGTCCTGCCTTCAGGTGCTTTGGAAAATAGCTTGACTCCCTCTTCTTTGGGGCAGCCCCTGAGATATTGGAACACTGCTATCAGGTCCCCCCTGGTCCTTCTCTTCGTTAAACTGTTGTTGTTGTTAATTGCGACCCCATGGACAACGTTCCTCCAGGTCTTCCTGTCCTCTACCATCTTCTGGAGTCCATTGATGCTCACACCTACTGCTTCAGTGACTCCATCCAGCCATCTCATTCTCTGTCGTCCCCTTCTTCTCTTGCCCTCCATCTTTCCCAGCATTAGGCTCTTCTCCAGTGAGTCCTTCCTTCTCATTAGGTGGCCAAAGTATTTGAGTTTCAACTTCAGGATCTGGCCTTCTAAAGAGCAGTCGGGGTTGATCTCTTCTAGGACTGACCGGTTTGAAAGCCTTGCAGTCCAAGGGACTCGCAGGAGTCTTCTCCAGCACCATAGTTCAAAGGCCTCAATTCTTTGGCGCTCAGCCTTTCTTATGGTCCAACTTTCACAGCCATACATTGCAACTGGGAAAACCATGGCCTGGACTATACGCACTTTTGTTGGCAGGGTGATGTCTCTGCTTTTTAGTATGCTGTCTAGATTTGCCATAACTTTCCTCCCCAGGAGCAAGCGTCTTTTAATTTCTTGGCTGCAGTCCCCATCTGAGGTGATCTTAGAGCCCAGAAAAATAAAATCTGTCACTACCTCCATTTCTTCCCCATCTATTTGCCAGGAATTGAGAGGGCCGGATGCCATGATTTTGGTTTTCTTAATGTTGAGTTTCAAGCCAACTTTTACACTCTCCTTCTTCACCCGCATCAAGAGGCTCTTTAGTTCCTCTTCACTTTCTGCCATTAGAGTGGTATCATCTGCATATCTTAGGTTGTTGATATTTCTCCCGGCAATCTTAATTCCAACTTTTGATTCATCTAGCCCTGCCTTTCTCATGATGTGCTCTGCATATAAGTTAAATAGGCAGGGCGACAGTATACAGCCTTGCCGGACTCCTTTTCCAATTTTGAACCAATCAGTGTTCCGTGTCCAGTTCTCACTGTTGCTTCTTGACCCGCATATAGGTTTCTCAAGAGACAAATGAGATGGTCTGGTACTCCCATCTCTTTAAGAACTTGCTACAATTTGTTGTGATCCACACAATCAAAGGCTTTAGCATAGTCAATGAAGCAGAAGTAGATGTTTTTCTGGAACTCCCTAGCTTTCTCCATGATCCAGCATATGTTGGCAATTTGATCTCTAGTTCCTCTGCCTCTTCGAAATCCTGCCTGTACTTCTGGTAGTTCTCGATCCACATACTGCTGGAGTCTAGCTTGTAGGATTTTAAGCATAACTTTACTAGCATGTGAAATGAGTGCAATGGTGCAATAGTTTGAACATTCTTTGGCATTGCCTTTCTTTGGAATTGGAATGTAAACTGACCTTTTCCAATCCTGTGGCCACTGTTGAGTTTTCCAAATTTGCTGGCAAATGAGTGTAGCACTTTTACTGCATCGTCTTTTAAGATTTTGAATAGCTCAGCTGGAATACTGTCACCTCCACTCGCTTTGTTGTTGCTCAGATTTTCTAAGGCCCATTTCACTTCACATTCTAGGATGTCTGGTTCGAGGTCAGTGATCATCTCATTGTGGTTATCTGGGATGTTAAGCTCATTCTTGTATAGTTCTTCTGTGTAGTTTTGCCATCTCTTCTTAATCTCTTCTGCCTCTGTTAGGTCTCTGCCATTTTGGTCCTTTATCATGCCCATCTTTGCATGAAACGTTCCCTTCATATCTCCAATTTTCTTGAAGAGATCTCTGGTCCTCCCTATTCTGTTGTTTTCTTCTATTTCTTTGCACTGTTCATTTAAGAAGGCATTCTTATCTCTTCTAGCTACTCTCTGGAATTCTGCATTCAATTGGGTGTATCTTTCTCTTTCTCCCTTGCCTTTCGCTTCCCTTCTTTCCTCAGCTATTTGCAAAGCTTCCTCAGACAGCCATTTTGCTTTCTTGCATTTCTTTTTCTTTGGGATGGTTTTAGTTGCTACCTCTTGTACAATGTTGCGAACTTCCATCCATAGTTCTTCAGGCACTCTGTCTATCAGATCTAATTCCTTAAATCTATTTGTCACCTCTACTGTATATTCATCAGGAATATGATTTAGTTCATACCTGAGTGGCCTAGTGCTTTTCCTACTTTTTTCAATTTAAGCCTAAATTTTGCAACGAGAAGCTCATGATCTGAGCCACAGTCAGTTCCTGGTCTTGTTTTTACTGACTGTATAGAGCTTCTCCATCTTTGGCTGCAGAGCACATAGTCAATCTGATTTCTATGTTGACCGTCTGGTGATGCCCATGTGTAGAGCCGTCTCTTGGGTTGTTGGAAAAGAGTGTTTGTTATGACCATCGTATTCTCTTGGCAAAATTCTATTAGCCTGTGCCCTGCTTCATTTTGTTAAACTAGACATCCCCAATTCCAGCAGCCGTTCCTTATATGTTTTAGCCCCCAATCCTTTGATCATCTTTGTTGCTCTTCTCTGTACTCTTTCTAGAGTCTCAGCATCTTTTTTACATTGTGGTGACCAAAACTGGATGCAACTGTGGCCTTACCAACTGTGGCCTTACCAAGGCCTTGTAAAGTGGTATTAACACTTCATATGATCTTGATTCCATCCCTCTGTTAATGCAGCCTAGCACTGTGTTGGCCTTTTTGGCAGCTGCAGCACACGGCTGGCTCATATTTAGGGGATTGTCTAGGACTCCGAGGTCCCTCTCACAGTTACTACTATTGAGCAAGGTACCCCCTATGCTGTACTTGTGCATTTGGTTTTTCTTGCCTAAATGTACTTTTTTCACCATTGAATTTCATTTTGTGAGATAGTGCCCAGTGTTCAAGTCTGTCCAGGTCCTCCTGTATCCTAAGCCTGTCTTCTGGAATGTTGGCTATTCCTGCCAGCTTGGTGTCGTCTGCAAATTTGATGAGTTCCCCATCTATCCCCTTGTCCAAATCGTTGAAGATGTTGAAGAGCACTGGGCCCAGAACAGAGCCCTGGGGCACCCCACTACACACTTCCCTCCGTGTAGATGCGGTTCCATTGAGGACCCCACGCTGAGTACGGCCGGTCAGGTAGCAACCCAGTTGTGAATCTGGCTTCCCCATGTCAGAAGTTTGCAAAAGGGGATCGCGTGACCCCAGGGGACACGGCGACCGTCTTAAATGTGAACCAGTTGCCAAGTGTCTGAATTTTGATCCCGTGACCTCGGGGATGCTGCCAAGGACGGTAACTGTGAGTCAAATCTTTCAGTGCCGTTGTAACATTGAACGGTCACTGAATGAATCGGTCACCCTCGGCTTGGTGTGGCGACCGTTCAAAGTCACAACACCACCATAAGATGTGAGTTACGACCACGTTTCACACTTAACGACGGTCGCAGCATCCCGCAGTTGCGTGGATCCAAGATTTAGCGCTTGGCAACCGTCTCATCTTTACGACGGGTTGCAGTGTGTCCCCGGGGGGGGGGGGAGTGACGTGATCCCATTTTGCAAACTTCTGACAAGCAAACTCAACGGGGAAGCCGGGTTGACTTAACAACCGGGTCACTAACTGAAGCACTGCAGTGATTCGCTTAACCAAGGTGGCAAGGGACGTCGTACAATGGGGGAAGACTCGCTTAGCCAATTTCTCGCTTAGCGACCTAAACTGTGGGCTCAGTTGTGGTCGTAAGACGAGGACCTCCTGTAAAAAGAAGTTGGAGGATCAATTCTACTCTCGTGGCCGCCATCTTGACTTTTTTGACCGACACCCCCGAAGATTCCCACTCCGCAAAGCATCTGAACCCCCCCCTCTGCCCCTCCCAACCGGCTGTTACCTTCCAGCGACGTCTCATGACGTATCTCCGGAGCAGAACCTGAGATTTGAGCCGTCGGTTGACCCGCTTTGCTTTCTCGGCCAGGTTGTTCAGCCAGGGGTGCTGGAGGCACTGGGCTGCGCTCATCCTCCCGCTGGGAGAAAGAGGAAGAAAAGAAGGCATTACAGGGTAGTCCTCGACATACAACAGTCCATTTAGTGACGGCTCAAAGCACTGAAAAAATGTGACTTAGGATCGTTTTTCAGAGCACCACCTTAGCAGCAGCAAACACACCCCCCCCCGTGGTCGCGTGATCAAAATGCGCCCGCTTGGCAACTGACTCATATTTACGACGGTCGCCGTGTCCCGAGGGGGTCACGTGATTCCCCTTTTGCGTCCTTTTGACAAGCGAACTCAGTGGGGAAAATCAGACTCATTTAGCAACTGTGATAGTAACTTAGCTACTGCAGCGATTCACTTAAGAACGGTGGACAGAAAGAATGTAAAACAGGGCAAAATCTCATTTAGCAATTGTCTCCCTTGACGAAAAAATAAATAAAAATAAAAATGGGGGCTCCATTGCCGTCATAAGGCGAGGACGAACTGTACCAGCCTCTGGCGAGATAAAACCAGCATCTTGGGTCTGGTTGGAAAAAGGGAGTTTTCCAAGATTTTATCCAGCTGGTCTGGCCCGGTGGGCATCGCTGCGGCCACCTTCGGCCAGTCAGTAATAGTAGTAAAGTTGGAAGGGACCTTGGAGGTCATCTAGTCCAACCCCCTGCTCAGGCAGGAAACCCTATACCATTTCAGACAAATGGCTGTCCAACCTCTTCTTAAAAACTTCCAGTGTTGGAGCATTTCCTGCTTCTGGAGGCAGGTAGTTCCACTGGTTAATTGTTCTCACTGTGAGGAAGTTTCTCCTTAGTTCTAGGCTTTCTCCGGTGACACTGCGGTCCTGGTTGTTAGTTTAAAGCCGGCTTTAAAGCCACCGCGGAATTGGTAAAAGTTGACTGCAGCTTGTTCAGTTGTAACTTTTGAGTATATAGAGCCAAGTCTGGTTTAGTGGTTAGGGTACCAGGCTAGAAAGTGGGAGACGGTGAGTTCTAATCCTACCTTACGCATGAATTCTGACTGGGTGTCTTTGGGCCAATCACCGGGAGACGGTGAGTTCTAGTCCCGCCTTAGGCATGAAAGCCAACTGAGTGACTTTGGGCCAATCAGCAGGAGACAGTGAGTTCTAGTCCCGCCTTAGGCACGAAAGCCAGCTGGTTGACTTTGGGCCAATCACCAGGAGACGGTGAGTTCTAGTCCCGCCTTAGGCATGAAAGCCAGCTGAGTGACTTTGGGCCAATCACCAGGAGACGGTGAGTTCTAGTCCCGCCTTAGGCATGAAAGCCAGCTGGGTGACTTTGGGCCAATCACCAGGAGACGGTGAGTTCTAGTCCCGCCTTAGGCATGAAAGCCAGCTGGGTGACTTTGGGCCAATCACCAGGAGACGGTGAGTTCTAGTCCCGCCTTAGGCATGAAAGCCAGCTAGGTGACTTTGGGCCAATCACCAGAGACGGTGAGTTCTAGTCAGCCCAGTGGGTGACTTTGGGCCAATCACCAGAAGATGGTGAGTTCTAGTTCTGACTTAGGCATGAAAGCCAGCTGGGTGACTTTGGGCCAATCACCAGGAGACGGTGAGTTCTAGTCCCGCCTTAGGCATGAAAGCCAGCTGGGTGACTTTGGGTCAATCACCAGGAGACGGTGAGTTCTAGTCCCGCCTTAGGCAGAAAAGCCGGCTGGGTGACTTTGGACCAATCCCCAGAAGACGGTGAGTTCTAGTCCCGCCTTAGGCATGAAAGCCGGCTGGGTGACTTTGGGCCAATCCCCAGAAGACGGTGAGTTCTAGTCCTGCCTTAGGCACGAAAGCCAGCTGGGTGACTTTGGCCCAATCACCAGGAGACGGTGAATTCTAGTCCCACCTTAGGCATGAAAGCCGGCTGGGTGACTTTGGGCCAGCCCCTCTCTCTCAGCCCAACAAACCCATCTCACATGCTGGCTGGAGAATTCTGGGAGTTGAAGTCCACCAGCTGCCAAGATTGGACCCCCCTGTTCTAAGGATTGGAGGGTCAGGCCTTGCCCTCCTGTGTTGAGGCACTGAGTCTAGACTAAGTCCCTGTTTGACCCCTCTGCCCGTCTGCGAGGGTGGCTCTCCAACACACGGACCCTTTTTGCTTGATGATCAGGTTGGAGACAAAATCTTTGGCTTCGTCTGAGATGCCCTCAAAGGCTTCCTCGTCGAAATACCACTCCGACTTCAAGACGTTGTTGAGGGTTTCCGGGTCGTTGTCTCCCATGAAAGGGGAGAGACCGCTCAGCCTGGCAGGGAGGGAGGGAGAGACAGAGAAGATGAGAACATAAAACGTCTGCAGATGGTGAGGTCCTCCAGCCAGGAGACAGTCCAGCTCCACAAGGCCAAGTCTGGCCACAAGGTGAGTTCAACAGGATGGATTGGGGGGGCTGGGTGTGGATTATGGAGTCTTCCCCCAACCTGCTGGCAGACCTCAAATGCCATGGCGGTCTATCCCAACGGTACTTTTTCAAGAGGCAACTGGACATTCTTGTTTTTCCTTTGAAGACGTTTCGCTTCTCATCCAAGAAGCTTCTTCAGGTTCTGACGGGATGGTGGGGAAGGGAAGGATTTATACTCCTTGCAGACAGTTGGTCATTTGCATTGTTTTAGAGCAGTGGTTCTCCACCTGTGGGTCGGGACCCCATTTGGGGTTGAACAACCATTTCACGGGGGTCGCCAAACAACACAGTCCGCCATTTCCCCCCCCCCCTTTTCCTTAGCTGTGCTCCTCCCTTTTATTCCATTGGCTTTTGAAAGCCAATAGAATAGACTCCCTTGAATAGAGCCTAATTCTATTGGCTTTCAAAAGCCAATAGGAATTGTCCAGGCTGTCTCTGCCCTGCTGAGCCTGCCAAAAGTCCCATTCTGCAAACGGTGCTGCACCAGTTGAGTAGTCCTCGACTTACGACCGATTGAGTAGTCCTCGACTTACAACCGGTTGGGGGTCGCAGCATTAAAAAGGTTGAGAACCACTGTTTTAGAGAGTCATTGAGGCCACCTGAAGGTTTATCTGTGTCCTCAGGGTGACCTGAGTAGCGCAAATGGGTGTGGAGCCTTCTACAACACGGTCCTTTCAACAGTTCCAAGAAAGCTCCACGCCCATTTGCACCACTCCAGTGACCCTGAGGGCACAGGTAAGCCTCCAAGTGGCCTCAATGACTGTCTAAAAGAAGGCAAATGACCAGCTGTCTGCAAGGAGTATAAATCCTTCCCTTTCCCACCATCCAGTGGACTTTCGTTTTTTCTTTGAAAACGTCTTTGCTTCTCATCCCAGAAGCTTCTTCAGGTTCTGACTGGATGGTGGGGAAGGGAAGGATTTATACTCCTTGCAGACAGGCGGTCATTTGCATTCTTTCAGAGAGTCGTTGAGGCCACTTGGAGGTTGACCTGTGTCCTCAAGGTCACCTGAGGGGTGCAAATGGACGTGGAACCTTCTACTACACGGTCCTTCCAGGAGTTCCAAGAAGGCTCCACGCCCATTTGCACCACTCCGGTGACCCTGAGGACACAGATAAGCCTCCAAGTGGCCTCAACGACTGTCTAAAACAGTGGTTCTCAACCTTTTTAATGCCGCGACCCCCAACCGGTCGTAAGTTGAGGACTACTCAACCGGTCGTAAGTCGGGGACTACTTAACTGGTGCAGCACCGTTTGCAGAATGGGACTTTTGGCGGGCTCAGCAGGGCAGAGACAGCCTGGACAATTCCTATTGGCTTTTGAAAGCCAATAGAATTAGACTCTATTCAAGAGAGTCTATTCTATTGGCTTTCAAAAGCCAATAGAATAAAAGGGAGTAGCACAGCTAAGGAAAAGGGGGAAAAAATGGCGGACTGCGTTGTTTGGCGACCCCCGTGAAATGGTCGTTCGACCCCAAATGGGGTCCCGACCCACCAGTTGCGAACCGCCAGTCTAAAAGAAGGCAGTACAGATCCTTCCATTTCCTCACCATTCAGTCAGAGCTGAAGAAGCTTCTGGGATGAGAAGCGAAACGTCTTCAAAGAAAAACAAGGAAGTCCCATTGCCTTGTAGAAAAAGCCCCTTTGGGACAACCAGGACCTGGATGGCTGAGAACCTCCATGGACAATTTAGCCATGTATTTTGGGATGAACCCCCATGCACGGATGTCCAGAAAACATGACAGACTAGAAGAACTATTTGCGCTTCAGATGGAGATGCAGACAACACAGACTCATCCCCATCATCCTGTGCCCGTCTCCATCCACGAAGGGACCCAGGGCAGAAGACATCCTGCAGCCAAAAAGACTCCACCCCCATTTGCACCACTCAGGTGACCCTGAGGACACAGGTAAGCCTCCAAGTGGCCTCAACGACTCTCTAAAAGAAGGCAAATGACCAACTGTCTGGAAGGAGTATAAATCCTCCCCTTCCCCATCATTCGGTCAGAACCTGAGGAAGCTTCTCGGATGAGGAGAGAAACGTCTTCAAAGGAAAAACAAGAAAGTCCAGCTGCCTCGTGGAAAAGCATCTTTGGGACAACCCTGACCTGGATGACTGAGAATCTTTATAGACCCCAAATCCACGTTAACTTAAGCCAGCTTTAAAGATTTTTGCAATGGGGTGCATGCTGCAAACCCCTAGATTTAGGGTCACTATTGCTCCTGGGGAGGAAAGCTATGGCAAATCTAGACAACACACTAAAAAGCGGAGATATCACCCTGCCAACAAAAGTGTGTATCGTCAAGGCTGTGGTTTTCCCAGTTGCAATGCACGGATGTGAAAGTTGGACCCTAAGAAAGGCTGAGCGCCAAAGAATGGAGGCCTTTGAACTCTGGTGCTGGAGAAGACTCCTGCAAGTCCCCTGGACTGCAAGGCGTTCAAACCGGTCAGTCCTGGAGGAGATCAACTCCGACTGCTCCTTAGAAGGCCAGATCCTGAAGTGGAAACTCAAGGACTTTGGCCACCTAAGGAGAAGGAAGGACTCCCTGGAGAAGAGCCTAATGCTGGGAAAGATGGAGGGCAAGAGAAGAAGGGGACGACAGAGAAGGAGGTGGCTGGATGGAGTCACTGAAGCAGTAGGTGTGAACTTAAATGGACTCCAGAAGATGGTAGAGGACAGGAAGACGTGGAGGAACATTGTCCATGGGGTTGCGATGGGCTGGACACGACTTCGCAATTAACAACAACAATCCATATCTATCTATCTATCTATCTATCTATCTATCTATCTATCTATCTATCTATCTATCTATCTATCTATCTATCCATCCATCCATCCATCCATCCATCCATCCATCCATCCACCTAATGAGAAGGAAGGACTCACTGGAGAAGAGCCTAATGCTGGGAAAGATGGAGGGCGAGAGAAGAAGGAGACGACAGAGAAAGAGAGGGCTGGATGGAGTCCCTGAAGCAGCAGGCGTGAGCTTCAATGGACTCCAGAAGATGGTAGAGGATGGGAAGGCCTGGAGGAACGTGGTCCATGGGGTCGTGATGGGTCGGACACGACTTCGCAACTAACAACATCTATCTATCCATATCTATCTATTTATCCATCTATCTATCTATCTATCTATCTATCTATCTATCTTTCTATCTATCCATATCTATCTATCTATCTATCTATCCATCCATCCATCCATCCATCCACCTAAGGAGAAGGAAGGACTCACTGGAGAAGAGCCTAATGCTGGGAAAGATGGAGGGCAAGAGAAGAAGGGGACGACAGAGAAGGAGGTGGCTGGATGGAGTCCCTGAAGCAGGAGGCGTGAGCTTCAATGGACTCCAGAAGATGATAGAGGACAGGAAGGCCTGGAGGAACGTGGTCCAGGGGGTCGCGATGGGTCAGACCCAACTAACAACAACAATGCTGTCCCCTGCACCCTGACTCACAGCATGTATGCGATCACCCCCATGCTCCACATGTCGCTGCTGTAGGAGACCGGCTCGTAGCTGACCACCTCCGGCGGCAGGAATTCCGGCGTGCCGAAGTTGACTTTTAGTTTTTCACGGGGGTTGAACCTGTCCAGGGGAGGAGAAGAAGCTGAATTGGTCCTGGCACATTGGAACAGAGATAGTCCTCGAATTACGACCAAATTCGTGCCCAACAGGGATGTCGCTCAGTGAGAAGTTCGTTAAGTGAGTTTTGCCCCATTTTACGACTGGGACACTGCGACTCTCATGACTTTGGGACACTGCGACTCTCATGAAGGTGAGTCAGTGGTCAAGCATCCGGAGGTAAGTCACGCGACCGTGGGGGTGCTGCAACGGTCGTAAGTGTGAAAAAATGGTCATTCAGTGCCGTTGTAACGGTCACTAAGCGAACTGTTGTAAGACGAGGACTACCTGTATGCCTCCCTGACACACCCTTTTCGCCCCCACCCCCTTCCAGATAAAGCAAGGGGTTGGACTAGATGACATCCAAGGTCCCTTCCAACATTATTACTACTACTACTACTACTACTACTACTACTATTAAAGATGCACCAGACTGGGACCTCCTTGAGCGCTAATAGTTATTCCAGCGTGATCTGGCTAAGTATCCATTCAATTCAATGGGAGAGGGGAGAGAAATGTATTTATCTGGCATGTAACATAGCTAATTTCAGTACAAAAGTCAAACGTCATTACTCTTCTCCACGGGTCATAATGCTGTACAACGGTCAAAAAATTAAATATTGGGGGAGGGGGAATCTTGACCTATCCCCCAATGCATAAGGAGACAAAAATAAGATTAAGTTTGGAGAAACTCTTTTACAACAATGCGCCCATCAGCCCAAATTGTGAAAACAAAGACTCGGGTTAGAGGAAAAAAAATGTGCACAAACTGGAGATCAGGGTTGGTGCATTTTAATTTTCTCCATCGGGAACAGAACACTGATGGAAGAGGATCTTTCTAGGCCAGGATTGCAGATGGGAGGATGCTAGAAGGGAGCTAGCAGGAGGGTCAGGATGCTAGAAGGGAGGGGGGCTTGTGGAGAGGAGGAAGAGGAGGGAGAAGGAGGAGGACTGTGTGGCCCTTGGTGTTCTCTGAGCTTGTTTTCTTGCAGATGTTTCATGACCCAGCTAGGTAACATCTTCAGTGCTTGGAAGGTGTGGGGTTTGTGGAGAGGAGGAGGAGGAGGAGGAGGAGGAGGAGGAGGAGGAGGACTGTGGGGTCCTTGGTGCTTGAAAGGTGGGTTTGTGGAGAGGAGGAGGAGGAGGAGGAGGAGGAGGAGGAGGAGGAGGAGGAGGAGGAGGAGGAGGAGGACTGTGGGGTCCTTGGTGCTCTCTGAGCCTGGTTGTGTTCTTGCAGACATTTCATGACCCAACTAGGTAACATCATCAATGCTAGAAGGGAGGGGGGCTTGTAGAGAGGAGGAGGAGGAGGAGGAGGAGGAGGAGGACTGTGTGGCCCTTGATGTTCTCTGAGCTTGTTTTCTTGGCAGATGTTTCACTACCCAACTAGGTAACATCTTCAGTGCTTGAAAGGAATGGGGTTTGTGGAGAGGGGAGAGGAGAAGGAGGAGGAGGAGGAGGAGGAGGAGGAGGAGGAGGAGGAGAAGAAGAAGAAGAAGAAGAAGAAAGGAGGAGGAGGGGGGTCCTTGGTGCTCTCTGAGCTTGATGGTTTTCTTACAAACGTTTCATGACCCAACTTGCTAACTTCATCAGTGCTAGAAGGGAGGGGACTTGTGGAGAAAAGGAGGAGGAGGAGGGAAGGAAGGAAGGAAGGAAGGAAGGAAGGAAGGAAGGAAGGAAGGAAGGAAGGAAGGAAGGAAGGAAGGAAGGAAGGAGAAGGAGGAGGACTGTGGGGTCCTTGGTGCTCTCTGAGCTTCGTTGTTTTCTCGCTGAGATTTTATGACCCAACTAGGTAACATCATCGGTGATATAAACAAAGCGCAAAGCCCCCTTCTTTCCTAGCCCTGATGATGCTCTCCAGTTTGGTAACAAGACGTCTGCCTGAAAGCAACCAGGTTCAGAGAGCACCCCCACCAGAACAGAAGGCGTGAGAGATGCTCAATGAGAGACGGAGAGAGATCAGAATGGGTTTGTCCTTCTCTGACCCAGCAGAGGAGAAGACACATGGTCAGAGAACAGCCTGGCCACCCCGGTCCCCGTATTACCTTCGAGCAAATCCAAAATCAATGATCTTCACCATGTGGCCAGTGGCCGTCACACACAGGATGTTGTCGGGCTGCAGAAAAAGGAAAAGTGGGGTGTGCATGTGAAAGGGAATAGAAAGGTCTTTGGGGGGTTGAGAAGAGCAGAGGAAACTATGGACAAATCTCTAACAACCACCACCACCACAACAACAACAACAACAGAGAGGAAGGCCCCTGCCACATCGCACCCCAGGCTTAGCAACTGTGGATAAGAAAGACGAACCGCGGACCGCGGATGTGTTAGCGCCTGGAAACAGCCAAAGAGAAGACAAAGGACTGGAGAGCACAAAGACCCGCAAACAGAAATAGAACGCCTATGGTAAACGAATGCAGGGGGGGGGGGTACCAAAACGCCTGAAGCATCCCTTGAATTGCATTGACACACGATCCCCATCAGTCAATTGCGAAAGGCAGCTTGACTTGGAGCAGCTGACATCCTCCGACAATATCTCTAACTCAATTTCATTGAGGGCCGCATCAGCATTGCAATTGCCCTGGGGGGGGAGGCGGGGGAGTGGCCTACTGGGTGGGCGTGGATGGAGTGGGTGTGGCCTACTGGCTGGAGTGGGTGTGGCTGTGTTCCAAGATCTCAGGGGCTGCCCCAAAGAAGAGGGAGTCAAGCTGTTCTCCAAAGCACCTGAAGGCAGGTCAAGAAGCAACGGATGGAAACTAACCAAGGAGAGAAGCAACCTAGAACTACGGAGAAACTTCCTGACAGTGAGAACAATTAACCCGTGGAACAACCTGCCTCCAGAAGCGGTGAATGCTCCAACACTGGAAGTTTTTAAGAAGAGACTGGACAGCCATTGGTCCAAAATGGTATAGGGTTTCCTGCCTGAGCAGGGGGTTGGACTAGATGACCTCCAAGGTCCCTTCCAACTTTATCATTATTATTATTATTATTACTGGGTGGGCATGGCCAGCTCTACATCATTCGCATCAAGGGTGCCTGTGGGGGCCTGGGCAGGAGTGGGACAGATCTGAGGGTCTCTGTCAGAAGGGGGTGGGACCAGGGCAAGCGCCAAGACATGATCCACTGGAGGAGCCCCACTGCCTGCTAAACCCCCTCCCCCGGAGCCCATCAAGCCGGATAGGTGAAGTAGGCGAGAGCCATTTGCTGGCCACTTCCAGGCGATGGTGCATTTCTTCATTCCTCACAAAGGGTGACCCCTCCCCAGCATGCACCCAGGGGTCGGGGCCGACGCGGCAGGGGCCGGTTCCTCGCTGTTTCCAGAGGGCCTTGTGGAGCTAAGACTGAATGCGTTTCAGCATAGGTGGCCACCACAAAATTGTACATTGGCTCCCGGCCGGCCTGGGCCAGGGCCAAGGCAGTGGGGGGCCGTTCCCTCACTGTCTCCTGGATGGCTTCACGGGCCACATGAAACCACTTTGCGGGCCACATCCGGCCCCCAGACCTTGTGTTTGACATGTCTGCTCTAACCCCATCAAATGACCACCTCTGCTTATCTCAGATCGTTGGAAAGGGGAGCAAACACACCAAATCCAGTCTCAACAACTGGCTGGCTGTGAAACCGACTATAATAATAATAATAATATCAATATCGGTCAATTGCAAAAGGCAGGTTGACTCGGAGCGGCTGACAACCTGTGACGATCCATTTAAAACTCCATCCAACAACAACTGGCTATCCCAGGTCCTTGGGAAGGACTTGACCGGTAGACCAACAGGTAGTAGACCTGATAGGTAGACAGAAATGCCAAGTCCACTCTCAACATCTGGCTGATTGTGCCACCAACCATAATAATAATGCTAATAGTGATAGATCCCTCGGGGGCAGTCCTAAAACATCTGGAGCACCACTGAAACACCAATGACATTGGCAAATTCACCGTCGGTCAACTGCAAATGCTAAAGCTTAAAGCATCCAGCTGACCCTTAAACACACACACACATAAACCCAGACAAATTGCAAAAAGCAAAAGAATCTGGTACATTTTTGAGGGGTGGGGAATCAAGCGATTCTCCAAAGCAGTGGTTCTCAACCTTTTTAATGCCGCGACCCCCAACCGGTCGTAAGTCGAAGACTACTCAACCGGTCGTAAGTCGAGGACTACTCAACTGGTGCAGCACCATTTGCAGAATGGGACTTTTGGCAGGCTCAGCAGGGCAGAGACAGCCTGGACAATTCCTATTGGCTTTTGAAAGCCAATAGAATTAGACTCTATTCAAGAGAGTCTATCCTATTGGCTTTCAAAAGCCAATAGAATAAAAGGGAGCAGCACAGCTAAGGAAAAGGGGGAAAAAATGGAGGACTGCGTTGTTTGGCGACCCCCGTGAAATGGTCGTTCGATCCCAAATGGGGTCCTGACCCACAGGTTGAGAACCACTGCTCCAAAGCATCACAAGGCAAGACAAGAAACAACGGGTGGACACGTATCAAGGAGAAAAGCAACCTAGAACTAAGGAGAAAATTCCCAGTGGTTAGAACAATTAACCAGTGGAAGGGCTTGTCTTCAGACATTGTGGGTGCTCCATACTGGAGGTTTTGAAGAAGAGATTGGACAAGCCATTTGTCTGGAATTCTATAGGGCAGTGATGGCGAACCTATGGCACGTGTGCCAGAGGTGGCACTCGGAGCCCTCTCTGTGGGCACGCACGCCATGCCCCGGAGATGGCAACTGTCCCTCTTCAACCAGCCACCCGCTAACTCGCTGAGGTCCCACGTGGCCGGATGCATCCCAGTACCGCTGGTTTCCCTCCCCCCATCCCATCCCTCCTGGCCTCGCATGCTGTCCTTTTCCCGGACACAACCCACTGCATCGCCTCCTCAGCTGTCGGCCGGCCGGCCAGCTCAGAGACAGCTTCTCTTGAACTGCGGGTGGCGGGCTGTGGAGCCCCAGAATGCGCCGGTCGAGGGGCCGGCAGGCTGTGGCTGCTGACAGACACTGTTGGCCCCCATGTAATAGTAATAGTAGTAAAGTTGGAAGGGACCTTGGAGGTCATCTAGTCCAACCCCCTGCTCAGGCAGGAAACCCTACACCATTTCAGACAAATGGCTGTCCAGTCTCTTCTTAAAAACTTCCAGTGTTGGAGCATTTACTGCTTCTGGATGCAGGCTGTTCCACTGTTCTCACTGTCAGGAAGTTTCTCCTTAGTTCTAGGTTGCTTCTCTCCTTGATTAGTTTCCATCCGTTGCTTCTTGTCCTGCCTTCAGGTGCTTTGGAGGATAGCTTGACTCCCTCTTCTTTGGGGCAGCTCCTGAGATATTGGAATACTGCTATCCTGTCTCCCCTTGTCCTTCTCTTCGTTAAACTAGACATACCCAATTCCAGCAACCGTTCCTTATATGTTTTAGCCTCCAGTCCCCTGATCCTCTTTGTTGCTCTTCTCTGCACTCTTTCTAGAGTCTCAACATCTTTTTTACATCGTGGTGACCAAAACTGGATGCAGGATTCCATGTGTGGCCTTACCAAGGCATTGAAGAGTGGCATTAATACTTCACGTGAAGTGCTCGTTGGCCTCTGTGTGCGGGAGCCGATGGTGTCAGGCAGCAGCCGCCCCGACCCCTGGCCCGCGTTGCCCTGCGATAATGGCACCCCCGCGCTGCCTCGCCTTGCCTCACCCCACAGGATGAGCCTCCTGCCCACCGCCCCACCTGCCAGAGACCCCCTGGATCTCCCCCAACCCGCTTGGCTCCCACAGGCATCCCTCCGCATGAGCAACATCGAGGTGACTACACCCACCTTGGCCACATCCACCCAGTCTGCCATGACCACCACAGCCACGTCCACCCACTGGGCCACGCCCACCTGGCACCCGGCGATAAGTGGGTTTGGGGTTGCAGTTTGGGCACTTGGTCTATAAAAGGTTCGCCCTCACTGGTCTAGGGTCTCCTGCTTGAGGAGGGGGTTACATTAGGTCCCTTTCAACCCCATTATACTATGTTCTAAGTTGGGGCTGCTCCATCACTGGAGGTTTTTAAGTAGAGACTGGACAGACATTTGTCTGGAATGCTATAGGGCAGTGGTTCTCAACCTTTTTAATGCCGCGACCCCCAACCGGTCGTAAGTCGAGGACTACTCAACTGGTGCAGCACCGTTTGCAGAATGGGACTTTTGGCGGGCTCAGCAGGGCAGAGACAGCCTGGACAATTCCTATTGGCTTTGGAAAGCCAATAGAATTAGACTCTATTCAAGAGAGTCTGTTCTATTGGCTTTCAAAAGCCAATAGTATAAAAGGGAGTAGCACAGCTAAGGAAAAGGAGGGAAAAAATGGCGGACTGCGTTGTTTGGCGATCCCCGTGAAGTGGTCATTCGACCCCAAATGGGGTCCCGACCCACAGGTTGAGAACCACTGCTATAGAGTCTCCTGCTTGAGCAGGGGGTTGGACTAGATGACCTCCCAGGTCCCTTCCAGCTCTATCCTTCTGTTATTCAGTTACATTCAGCCTGGGCCACTCTGGGAAGCCTTCTGCAGGAAGCCATGATAATCTGGAGCCCTGGCACGCTGCCCCCTTTGATGGAGTCCGCAGCCTTCCCACACGTTTGGTCTTCCGTGGCATCTGGCCCACCCCACTTGTGGGGCTCAGCACGCACCCCCCCCCGGGCCCTCCTACCTTAAGGTCCAAGTGCAGCACCCTCATCTGATGCATGAAAAGGATTCCTTCGCAGATCTGCCGCACAAACACCATGCAGTCCACCTCGGTCAGTTGGTAATCCTCATCAATGATCCGTTCAAAGAGTTCGCCCCCTTCCACGCTGGATGGGAGATCGAGGTTGGGTCAGGATAGCACGTGAGGCAGCCACCCCCAGGAGCATCGGGACCATACAGCCCTTAGACCTAGATACCGCTTTATAGCGCTTTACGGCCCTCTCTGAGCATTTTGCCCCCCAATAATCTGGGTCCTGAGGAGATAGATAGATAGATAGATAGATAGATAGATAGATAGATGGATGGATGGATGGATGGATGGATGGATGGATGGATGGATGGATGGATATAAGAGATGATAGATGGATAGATAGATAGATAGATAGATAGATAGATAGATAGATAGATAGATAGATGATAGATAAATAGATGGATGGATGGATGGATGGAGATGATAGATAGATAGATAGATAGATAGATAGATAGATGGATGGATGGATGGATGGATGGATGGATGGATGGATGGATAGATAGATAGGGATGGATGGATGGATGGAGGTAAGAGATGAGAGATAGATAGATAGATAGATAGATAGATAGATAGATAGATGGATGGATGGATGGATGGATGGATGGATGGATGGATGGAGATAAGAGATGAGAAATAGATAGATAGATAGATAGATAGATAGATAGATAGATAGATAGATAGATAGATAGATAGATAGATGGACAGACAGGCAGGCAGGTAGATAAATATATAAAGATAAGAGATGATAGACAGATTAATGATAGATAGATAGAGATAAGAGATGAGAGATAGATAGATAGATAGGTAGGTAGATAGATAGATAAAGATAAGAGATGATAGGTAGACAGATAGATAGATCATAAAATGGGGTAAAACACAAATGTCTCATTCAACAACAGAAACGGGCTCAGTTGTGGTCGTATGTCAAGGACTACCTGTAAGCCCTCCACTTACAACTGTTCATTTAGTGACCATTTGAGGTTACAAAGGTACTGAAAAAAGTCACCTATGACCGTTTCCCACCCTTACGACCGTTGCGGCATCTCTATGATCATGTGATCAAAAGTCAGATGCTTGACAACGGACTCAATGTTGGCCAAGGTCGTTGAGTGAATCGCTGCCGTTGTTAAGTGAATTGTGCAAATCCGTCTTCCCCAAACCAGAAGGGACGGTTGCAAATGGTGTTCACGCGACTTTGGGACACTGCAACCATCATAAATATAGGGAGTCCTTGACTTACGACCGTTGGCTTCGTGCCCATTGGAAGTTGCCGTGGCACTGAAAAAAGTGACTGATGAATGTTTCCCACACTTACGACCGTTGCAGCATCTCTGTGACCATGTGATCAAAATTCACGTGACTCGGTTTTTATGACGGTCGCAATGTCCTGGTGTTGCACTGATCCCCTTTTATGACCATCTGACAAGCAAAGCCAATGGGGGAAGCCAGATTCACTTAACAACCCTGTTACTCACTTAATAACCACAGGGACTCACTTAACGGCTGCGGTAAGGAAGGTCGTAAAATGGACCCAGAGAAATATTGGGCTCAGTTGTGGCCGTAAGTCAAGGACTACCTGTACATGCAAGACGGGACCACCTCTCCACCCCCCCCCCTTTCAGGCCCCTCACAATTCCATGAAGAGCATGATCTCCCGGGGCGTCTCCACAGCGTCGTAAAGCTGGATCAAGTTTCGGTGGTTGAGCTGGTTCATCACATCGATTTCAACCTCGGCCGTTTCCTGTGGGGGGGGGAAAAGCTGCATTGCAGGGACTGGAGAGGGGAGGGGCAGGGAGGCCACTGGCCCTGGCAGCCCCCCCCCCTTCCATAACACCCCCCAGGTCTCCCCAAAAGGCCTACCCGGTCTTTGGGGCCCTGCTTCTTAATGATCTTCACAGCCAGTTTGAGGTCCGTGTCCTTCACCGTGCACGTGCGGACTTCTCCAAACTTTCCCCTGGGGCGGGAGAGGGGGAGGGAAAGCCAGGTTTGCCTTTTGGGGGCAATATTCATGCTTTTGTATTTTTGTTTTTAGGGGAAGGAAGGAAGGAAGGAAGGAAGGAAGGAAGGAAGGAAGGAAGGAAGGAAGGAAGGGGGAGGGGGAGGGAGGGAAAGAAAGAAGGAAAGAAGGAGGGAGAAAAGGAGGGAGGAAGAAAGGAAGGGAGGAGGGAGGGAAGGAAGGAAGGAGGAAGAAGGAGGGGAAGGAGGGAGGAAGGAGGGAAGGAGGAGGAGGGAAGGAAGGAAGGAAGGAAGGAGGGAGGGAAAGAGGGAGAGAGGAGGAGGGAAGGAAGGGAGGAAGGAAGAAGGGAAAAGAAAAGAAAGAGAAAGGAAGGAAGGAAGGGAAAGGAAAGAAGAAAAAAGGGAAGGAAGAGGAAAGAAGGAAGGAAGAAAGGAAGGGGAGGAGGGAGGGAGGGAAAGAAAGAAGGAAGGAAAGAAGGAAAGAGGGAGAAAGAAGGAAGGAAGGAAGGAAGGAAGGAAGGGGAGGGGGGAGGGAGGAAGAAAGGAAGGGAAGAGGGAGGGAAGGAAGGAAGGAGAAAGAAGGAGGGGAGGGAGGAAGGAGGGAAGGAGGAGGGAAGGGAGGAATGGAGGGAAGGAAAGAGGAGGGAAGGAAGGGAGGAAGGAAGGAGGGAAAAGAAAGGAAAGAGAAAGGAAGGAAGGGAGGAAAGAAGGAAGGACGGAAGGAAGCAGAGGAGGGAGGGAAGGAAGGAGGAAGAAGGAAGAAAAGGAAAAGGAAGGAAAGAAGGAAGGAAGGAAGAAGGAAGAAAGGGAGGAAGGAAGGGGAGGAGGAGGAGGGAAGGAGGGAGGGAAAGAGGGAGAGAGAAGGAGGGAGGGAAGGAAGGGAGGAAGGAGGGAAAAGAAAGGAAAGAGGAAGGAAGGAAGGGAGGAAGGAATATTTCCTCTAAAATGCTTCCCAATATCCTTCTTCTCTTTCAAGACTCCCACCTAAAGTTTCCAACTTAGGCAAGAGGGAGCGAGATGGTTGGATTCACACAACCTTGCCAAACTCAGGTCAACGGGGAATTCCGTGAGCTCCATTCCCACAATAGCCTGCAGGTGACCTTTTCTCTGGGGCTCAATGCATGCTGCAGACCCCACCCGGGGGGGGGGCAAGCGTGGCTCAATTCCTGAACGCAACTAAGACCACCAATCACTCCAATAAGCGGGTTACAGTAAGCGTCAAATTTCGCCTCGTCTGAAAAACATGCAGGTATCACCTGCCACTGTGAAGTGGAAGCCCCGCCCCCTTTGTGCAATGTATACTTAAAAGGCGGAGCTTCCCTGCTGCGTTCTCGGCCGCCATCTTGACTTTTTTTGACCCCGCCAAGCTATGCCTTTGGTTTACACCAGGGGTCGGCAACCTTGGCTCTTTTATGATTGGTGGACTTCAACTCCCAGAATTCCTCAGCCAGCCACGCTGAGGGGAAAGGGAGAGGTTTCCAAGCTGAGCCAGGCTGGCTGAGGAATTCTGGGAGTTGAAGTCCACGAGTCATAAAAGAGCCAAGGTTGCCTCCCCCTGGTTTACACCAACAGAGAGATTAAAAAATAAAATAAAGGAAGTTTTAACACATCGTGGGAAAAACCAGACAGCATAGAACAAAGAAAAATAGAATTGGAAGGGACTGTGGAAATCATCTACTCCAATTCCTGGTCAAGTAGGAGACCCTATCCCAGGGATGTCCAAACTTGGGAACTTTAAGACTTGTGGACTTCAACTCCCAGAATTCCCCAGTTGAAGTCCACAAGTCTTAAAGTTCCCAAGTTTGGACACCTTTACCCTCTACAACTCTGGACAAATGGCTGTCCAGTCTCTTCTTGAAGACCTCCAGAAATGGAGCACCCACAGCTTCTGAAGGCAAGCCATTCCACTGAAGGACAGAACAACGGATCTGGGAAGGACCTTGGAGGTCTTCTAGTCCACCCCCTGTTCAAGCAAGAGACCCTGTTTCATTCCGGTCAAAATAGCTGTCCAGTCTCTTCTTGTGGAGCACCCACAACTTCTGGAAGCAAGCGGTCCCACTGATTCATCCTTCTCTATTATCGGGAAACTTCTCCACTTGGTCCAAATGAGGTCTCCTTCCTTACCCTCCCAGGACTTCCTTTGTGTTCAGTTTGTAAGTATCTTTGAAGTCTCCGGTCCTCAGCGTGACAATGCGATGGGTGAAAGGCGCAGGGGGTGGGGGAGTGTCATCTGGAAGAGAGAGAGAGAGAGAGAGAGAGAGAGAGAGGTGTTTAAAAGAGGGATCAGCTCATTTCTGCTCAGAACCAGGTTACTACAGACTACTACTACTTTGAGCATCCATGCTCAAAGAGTGACATCTATGGGCCACCAAGGAAGTCTGTGCCTGGCTTGTAACACTCACAGCTGATGGGATTGCAGTCTGGATTAAGCCAGCTGTCCCAAGTAACCAGGAAGGTGCAAATGGATGATAGAATCATAGGTTTGGAAGGGACTTCGGAGGTCATCTAGTCCAACCCCCTGCTCAGGCAGGAAACTCTATACCATTTTGGACAAATGGTTGTCCAGGCTCTTCTTAAAAACTTCCAGTATTGGAGCTTTCACCGCTTCTGGAGGCAGGTTGTTCCACTGGTTAATTGTTCTAACTGTCAGGAAGTTTCTCCTTAGTTCTAGGTTGCTTCTCTCCTTGATTAGTTTCCATCCGTTGCTTCTTGTCCTGCCTTCAGGTGCTTTGGAAAATAGCTTGACTCCCTCTTCTTTGGGGCAGCCCCTGAGATACTGAAAGATTGCTATCATGTCCCCCCTCGTTCCTCTCTTCCTTAAACTGGACATTCCCAATTCCAGCATCTGTTCCTTGTATGTTTTAGCCTCTAGTCCCCTAATCATAATATTGCTCTTCTCTGCACTCTTTCTAGAGTCTCAACATCTTTCTTACATCCTAGTGACCAAAACTGGATGCTGTGTTCCAATTGTGGCCTTACCAAGCCCTTGTAAAGTGGTATTAACACTTCATATGATCTTGATTCTATCCCTCTGTTAATGCAGCCTAGCACTGTGTTGGCCTTTTTGGCAGCTGCAGCACACGGCTGGCTCCTATTTAGGTGATTGTCCACTAGGACTCCGAGATCCCTCTCACAGTTGCTACTATTGAGCAAGGTAGCACCTATACTATACCTGTGCACTTGGTTTTTCTTGCCTAAATGTAGAGCCTTACTTTTCTCACAACTGAATTTGAAACATTTAAAACTTATTAACATCATTTAGATAGCTTAGTATATTGTGTGTAAAAAAAGAAAAGGAAAAAAATTCTATTAATATTTTGGGTATCATTTTCTGCAAGCATAAATTTATTTGGCTTATTTGTCCAAAGCTGAGGATAATGTTGAAAAAGATCCACTACCATTCACATCAAAATTTTGTAATCTTTGTATACTAAAACTTTCAATCCTAACCTGGTTATTGTACTTTTCTTTGAAGTGTTACTTAGTATGTATGTATACATACATATATAGGTATACACACACATACGCCATCTAGAGGATATACGTTTAATAGATGTTTGTATAATAAAGGGGTAGGCAACTTTGGCTCTTATGACTCGTGGACTTCAACTCCCAGAATTCCTCAGCCAGCATGGGGAAAATATGGCGTGGACTTCAACTCCCAGAATTCCTCAGCCAGCATGGGGGAACTATGGCCCCTTCATGACTGGTGGACTTCAACTCCCAGAATTCCTGAGCCAGCATGGGGAACTATGGCCCCCTCATGACTCGTGGACTTCAACTCCCAGAATTCCTCAACCAGCATGGGGGAACTACGCCCTCCTCATGACTCATGGACTTCAACTCCCAGAATTCCTCAGCCAGCATGGGGGAACTATGGCCCTTTCAAGACTGGTGGACTTCAACTCCCAGAATTCCTGAGTCAGCCTGGCTCAGCTTGGGAACTTCTCCCTTTCCCCTCAGCATGGCTGCCTCAGGAATTCTGGGAGTTGAAGTCCACGAGTCATGAGGGGGCCATAGTTCCCCCATGCTGGCTCAGGAATTCTGGGAGTTTAAGTCCACAAGTCATAAAAGAGCCAAGGTTGCCTACCCCTGGACATATTAAGAAAGAAAAAATAAACTGCAAATTTAACAAGAATTGGAGGATCCAATCTGAGTCAGTTATGCTAAATAGGTCACCTTAACAAAAAATCATTATCACAATAAAAAGAGAAATAGGAAAATAAAAATAATGAATTATGGGGAATACAGGTATGTGTATGTACGTGTGTGTGTGTGTGTGTGTGTGTGTGCATACAGTTTCTGTTGCTAAGTGAGACAATTGTTAAGTGAATATTGCCCCATTTTATGACTTATTTTTCTTACGGTTGTTAAGTGAATCGCTGAAGCTGTTAAATTCGTGACACGGTCGTTAAGTGAAATCCGGCTTCCCTCATTGACTTTGCTTGTCAGAAAGTTGCAGAAGGGGATCACATGAGTCCAGGATACCAAAACCGTCATAAATACGAGTCAGTTGCCCAATATTGGAGTTTTGATTACCTGACCGCAGGGGATGCTGCAACGGTCCCAAGTGTGAAAAACAGGCACACAAGTCCCTTTTTTCAGCACTGTTGCAACTTCGGACGGTCCCTAAAAGGAACGGTTGTAAGCCGAGGACTACCGGAGGAGCAAAAACCCCAATAGTTCATTTATTTATTTGTTTTTACTTGTAAAATTTAGAGGCCTCGAGGTAACTCCTGGAGGAGTTGCAATCGTCAAGGATAAAAACGATGTAAATTAATGACATCAATAAGCTAGCACAAAAAGTCCAATCTGCAGTGCAATTAAAAGATGGAGGGGAGGGAGCAGGAAGGGGTGTTAATCGATCAACACCCCCCCCCCGTCATGGTTCCGACAGATGAAACTCGTCCAAAGAACTTTGAGGCATTGTTTAACCTTAAAGAATCTTTTATTCGAGAAACGAAGCATCGGCACTACATAGTTAAAGCCAAAAATTAAATCCCCCTCGCCTGGGCACAAAGTAGCAAAGCACAATTCCCTCCTCCAATTAACAGTCATAAATCAGGACGGGGGGGGGGAACGTGACAGCAGCCTTCCAGTATCTCAGGGGCTGCCCCAAAGAAGAGGGAGTCAAGCTATTCTCCAAAGCGCCTGAAGGCAGGACAAGAAGCAACGGATGGAAACTAGCCAAGGAGAGAAGCAACCTAGAACTAAGGAGAAACTTCCTGACAGTTAGAACAATTAACCAGTGGAACAACCTGCCTCCAGAAGCGGTGAATGCTCCAACACTGGAGGTTTTTAAGAGGAGACTAGACAGCCATTTGTCTGAAATGATATAGGGTTTCCTGCCTGAGCAGGGGGTTGGACTAGATGACCTCCAAGGTCCTTTCCAACTTTATTATTATTATTATTATCGATCATCGCACAGTCAGCCAGATGTTCAGACTAGATTTGGCATTTTGTCTACCTATCGAGTCCTTACCCAGGACCTGGGATAGGCAGATGTGGATGTTTGATGGTATTACAGATATCGTCGCAGGATGGAAGCAGTTCCTAATAAGGCTGCCTTTTGCAATTGACTAATAGCGAATTTGTCAATGCCAATGGTGTTCAAGTGGGGCTCCAGTTGTTTTGGAATTGCACCCAAGGAGCCTATGACTATTGGTACTACCCTTGCTTGCTTTTATTATTATTATTATTATTATTATTATTATTATTATTATTATTATTATTATGGATCATCGCACAGTCAGCCAGATGTTCAGACTGGATTTGGCATTTTTGTCTACCTATCGAGTCCTTCCCAAGGACCTGGGATAGGCAGATGTGGATGTTTGATGGTATTACAGATCTCGTTGCAGGATGGAAGCAGTTCCTAGTAAGGCCGCCCTTTGCAATTGACTAATGGCGAATTATTATTAATAATAATAATAATAATAATAATAATAATCACATTCCCCAATTAGCTTGAAGCTCGGGCTTTCTCCCCAGCTCTCCAGCCCGCCAAATCTTTATCAACCCTGGGCCCAATGACCTTGGGTTCCCATGGCTGAGTTATTATTGTTATGACCAACTGGACTCCCGTCCACATCCGCCCTCCCAGCACCAACGAACTCTAAAAGCGATAGAGAAAAGATGGCTGCATTTCCATCTGTTGTCAAAGCAAGAACATCCGATGTTAGCAGCGTCAACACCCCCACTGGAGGGTCTTCAGGCCCTTCCGAAAAGATAGGAGGGTTGGGGCCAACCTCACATGACGAGCTCAAGACCCTCGTGTTTCTGTACAGGTAGTCCTCGACTTATGACCCCAATTGAGCCCCAAATTTCTCTGGCTAAGTAAGATGGTTGCTAAGTGAATTTTGTCCCATTTTATGACCTTTCTTGCTGCAGTTGTGAAGTGAATCACTGCAGCTGTTAAATTAGGTCGTTAAGTGAACCTGGCTTCCCCATTGACTTTGCTGGCCAGGAGGTCGCAAAAGGAGATCACGTGACCCCCACCCCGGGGAGACACTGCGATCGTCGTAACTACAAGTCAGTCGCCAAGTTCTGAATTTTAATCACATGACCCCAGGGATGATGTAACAGTTGTGTGGAAAAATGGTCGTAAGTCTCTTTTTTCAGGGCCATTGTAACTTTGAATGGTCACTAAATGAACTGTTGTAAGTTGAGGACTACCTGTACTATTCTGAATTATAATATGCTGTATATAATAATAATAATAATAATAATAATAATAATAATAATAATAATAATAATACGAGAAAGAACTGGAGAAGATAACAAAATACAAAAACCTACAAATAGAAATAGAAAGACTGTGGCAAAAGCAAACAAGGGTAGTACCAATAGTAATAGGCTCCTTGGGTGCAATCCCAAAACAACTGGAGCACCACTTGAACACCATTGGCATTGACAAATTCGCTATTAGTCAATTGCAAAAGGCGGCCTTGCTAGGAACTGCTTCCATCCTGCGACGATATCTGTAATACCATCAAACATCCACATCTGCCTATCCCAGGTCCTGGGTAAGGACTCGATAGGTAGACAAAATGCCAAATCCAGTCTGAACATCCAGCTGACTGTGCAATGATCAATAATAATAATAATAATAATAATAATAATAATAATATTTGCAGATCAATGGTGAAAAGCTGGGAGAGGTTAATATCAAGAGAGGAATATTTCAAGGAGATTCATTATCACCATTACTATTTGTTATTGCACTGTTTC